GATGGCCCTCTCCTTCTCTCTTTCTCTCTCTCTCTCTTCTCTTCTTTTCTCTCGGACGGCGAAGGAGAGGACGCTGCCGGAGGGTCTACCAGAGGATCGTTAGGGGAAGGCGGACGGTGAAGGAGGAGGCGCGGCGATGAAGGAGCGTCGCGGAGAAAGAGAAAGGTGAGGTATCGGAGGAATAAAAAGAGCCGCGCGAAAAAAATTGAAGCCGACGTTGGAATCGAACGTGGTCTCTGGGTCAAGGATGCCGAGAGTGAAAATCAAAGAGTGCCGGGGCGGGCGCGCGCGCGCGCGCGGCGCTCGCGTTCGCAAGCAGCTTCGAGCTGATGTACGAGGGCGGATTGTTTTTATTTCCCTTTCGTTTCAGCAAATGAAATTCCATTCTATAAACACGGGGATATTTGTATCTGAGGATGTTGTAACGCAAGCGTGAAACTTATCGAACATCGAACTCTTCTCTGTTTCGTCGCGATATTTTCCACTGCGTTTGAAGCGGTCGTTTCTCTTTCAGTTTCTTTATCTATTGCCATTATTTTAATGAGCTTCATCATTACCAGGCTTGGATATTATGACCTTTTGTTTGTTTGTCCCAATGAGAGCGTCTTTTTGACTTAAAATTTGAAAGGTTAAAAGTATGATTAGAGAAGTTAAAGAATAATCTTTATTATTAAGAATTTATATGTTTTTAAAGGTATTATTATTGGATTATTAATGAATCAAACCCTAATGACAATAATTATCAAAAATCGTAATCTTTTATCAATATTTATAGAATTTAACGAATGCTTAATTAATTTAAAAATAATATAATAATTGGCTTTTTTACATGTTTTACTGATGCGCGTATATACGTGACAATACATACGCGCATCAGTAAAAGAAGAGACTCTGCATATAAATTTTTATTATATCATAGAAACATTCTTTTTTGTCTATATCGATTTTACTTTATATCGGGACCATGTGATAATGCTTCGTGAACAGTATTATTCTAATTATGAAATTAAGAACGTGTTTTAACAGTTATCGCTCGCGGATCGCTACGTGGCAGATTTTGCTGGCAAAGCACTATCGGAAGCTATTACTAGATTATTCCCCTCAAGCACGAACCTTCGTCCTCTTTTTCGTTCGTGCGTAATTCTGGACGCAAGTTTCCTCGGGTCAGCCGGATATCCCCCTGCCTTTGCGCCCCCGACGTGAGATTCATTAACTTACACGGGCGCGGCTGCCGCTCACGTCGGCCGGCCGCTCGACGGAAAAGTGTAATCGACAAAGTTTATCGAATGGCAGGGAGGGTACGAAGGGTCGAACCCGAAGGGAACACGGCACACGGAGGGCGACTCGAGCGATTTTCCCTCGTCGCTCCGTAGAATATGTACGGCGTAAAGTAGTAGTTCAGCTTGTAAAGTAGTTCGTTCAATCTGGCAGAGAGGAAAAAGAGAGAGGAAAAGAGATAAAGGAAAAGAGAGAGAAAGAGAGAGAGAGAAAAAAAGCTTTTTCATTCTTCTAAAAGTTAAATAAAAATATTATACATAACGTATACTCTTCCGCGAATTTCTGTGATTCCTTTTATTTGTCGCCAATCGCAAGATGTCCGGTCTCGCGGGTCGAGAAGGTAATGAAAGTTTCGCGTCGGTGTCGGTGTCGACCATCAACTCGACTGGATATCACTCAATTATTTATCGCGCGAACTTCTGCCGGCCTCCGCTGTTTTTCACTGAAATTATTCGACGATTCCCAAGCGAAGGCTATTTACGACGGTCGCCGTGTATCGCCGCCGTCCTCGCCGCCGCCGCCGCTTGCCTTTCGCGACAGCTCGTAAAATTGAAGCAGCGCGCCCGCGAGAATAAGCGAGGTCTCGAGACTGCGAGAGGAGGATCGAGTTAATTAGATATTGAATTAATGCTCCTAGGAGATGCGGTGCGCGCGGTGGGCGAGAAGCTCCGTGTCTCGGTGTGTGGGCGCGATCCTCCTGCGAATTTCCTGGATCGCAAAAATAACTTCCCGTCAACAATCGTAACTCTCGCGCGCCCCTCGCCTCTCCTCTCGTTCTCGCGCGTCCTCTTTTCCGAGCGCCTTTCACCGCGCGAACTCCGTCGTCCCCAGGTTCTCGTGTACGCCGGGAGTGGGTGTGCGATCGGCCTCTTCTTCGCGGGATTTTAATTACCGGCGTATCCTTACTCTTAATTAATTATCGCCTCGTACCGCCTCTAAATAATTTTAATTAGAATCGCCGAACGGTATTCTCCTCGCCTTCGGACCCCCAAGCCCCGCAATTACGAAATTTAATTACCCGCCAGGTATGAAGCAGTTCGATATCGCGCTCTTTGAATCTTCCGGATATATAAACTCTCGATAAGAACAATTAACTCCCGCCGGTGATTCGTTTTCTCTTCTCGTTGACTCTAATTCAATTCATCTTATTGACTTATAATACGTTGGTACGTGTACCTTCTCTACGTAGTCAAGAATCCGGTTTGACGCATTTGAATATTCTTTTGTTAGCGCTGAAGAAGATTTACTTATTGTCTGAGGCGGTGTTGAAAGGGCCAAGCCAAGTCGTTCTTTTAAATCTGTCTTTGGTCGAGAGAACGACTTATTCCCGTCTAACGTAAGCGATCGTGCGTATACCTTCATGATGAATTTCTGCTTTACATTTATTTCGGGCTTGAAATATTTCACATATTTAATTAATCTAATACTCGTTAGTTTTTGTAACTTGTGCTCCATATACGGACGGAGCGCGCGTGAATAATCGGTTTGCCCGTTGTTAAATTTCATTTGGCTCACGTTATTTTCGCAAATATTAATAGCGTACGCGAGTCGGATCGGCAAAGTAAGTTCCGGTTGCCCTTCTGGACCGGCTGCTGTGTGCCTGGTGTATTCGAGTGCGGGAGTAGGGGGTCCCTTTCTCTCCCGTGAAAGTCCAAGGGGAGTTTCTCTCCCGTGGCGGATGGTGGCGGCAGCGCCAAAATGGTGGGTGGCTCCATAGCGGAGTGACTTCCGCGCCAGGTACTTCGTAATGGCGAAGTTTACTTTGGCCATTTGTATCGGGCGAACGTAGGTGAACGCGAGGGGTGAGACGGGTAAGCAGCGGAGAAAGAAAACGGTATAGAGCAGACAGAGTGGAGCGAGATGAGAAAGACGTATAGAGAACGAAGCGGAGAGAAAACCGAGTCGCGCAGTGAGATGAAGCAGTGACGCGCAACCCTCGGCACGAGTTTGTCTTTCTGTTGATTTCGCATTCTTTGTGGGTGTGCATTAAAAATTTGCGCATCGATAAGACCTATAAGATAGAGGCTGTCTTGGCGGCAATTCCGTATCAGAGTTTCGCAAGCCAGAAAATATTAACGCGTGGCGTTAGATTATTAAATATACTTCTGCCTGACGGCGCATCGCGGGGAGAACGAAGAGAGTCCGCAATCGCTGAAAGTTGCGCGTCACTGCGCACCGCGGCAACAGCGGGATCCTCGGGAAAGGGAGAAAAGGGTCGAACTCGGCGGCCATAATAATTCACGATGTAAAGCTAAAGTACCGCGGCCGGAGGAAAGTTTCGCGAGAGGCCGCGCCATTCCGCCCTTTCTCTACGCGCGACGTCGATAAATTAGCTTACACTTTTTACATAATGCGACGAGAACGAGGACCGCGCGGAGGACGCGAGGTCCCTCGATGTAGGAGGAGGCGATGGCTCGGCTCTCGCTCAGGTTTCCTCGTCCTCCTCCCCTTTCCCTCCCCCCCTTCCCCGCGAAGCCGTCCGAGCGTCGTACATTCCCTGGGAAGGTGTGTACCTAACTACCTCAAACTCGCGTCCGCCTCCTCGGGTCAAATTAATTCCGGTATTAAAATTTGGCTTGCAAATATTCTGGACCCGCGGCTACGCGTGTACGAAGGGGGCGAGGGAGGAGGAAGAGGGGAGGGCGAGGAGGGAGAGGCGTGCACACGTGCACCCGGGCACGGTTGCTGGTGCTACGACGAGGATGACGAGGACGACGGAAACGATGACGACGACGACGACGACGACGACGACGACGACGACGACGACGACGACGACGATGATGACGACGAAGCCGCGTGCATTCACCTACTCGTCGGTGCTCGTCGACGCTTCGCGCCGTCACGCACACGCGTAGCATACGTACGACCCC